TTTACAGAGGCAAAGCGGGGTTTTCTAATAGCTCCATCATGTCGCAATTCCTAGAGTGCGGTCACTCAGGCTCGGAAAATAACTTTGAGGTCATCTACTCCATACCTGAGCGTTTCTCGCGCGGATTCCAAAAACATCTATCCATCACAGAAGCGATGTGTACCATTTTCGCTTTAAATTAGACGTTTTGCAAACCACTTTAGACACATTGGATTTTAAGCAGAAAATCAGCAATTCACTTCATGAAATATGGAGTGAGGTGACTAGACGATGTTCATAATAGATTGTAGCCATGCTGATACAACCGAATTATGTAGCCAGCGGGTGCCACTGCAAACTCTTGATCGTGAACCTCGATCGCCTCGATCAAAGGCGGGGACTGAATATCCCCTTATCTCCCCATCTGTCTTCTCGTAGTTTATGTGCTTCTGACTTGACACATGGACCTGTGTAGCTGTGTGACTATTGGAAATTCAGCCTCTCCCATCGCCTAGCTTATCATAAACAAATTTTATCTAGCACTCGTTCTGAGAATGAATTACGATGCACTATCTCAATGTGGACCGTGATTCCCACTGAATTAAACCTTGGCTAATTCGATCACTTGGACCGTAACTGATGAAGCAGATAGGCGGTGATCCAGTTGTTCTCTGTCAATCTACTGGTCTTCACGTATTTCCTGTGTGTGTGTGTAGGCGAACCTATTCAGCTGCTCGGTTATTGGATCAGTGTAGCCTATAATGAATTCACCAAAACCAGCCTGACATTGCTGGCCTAAAGTTGCAGTTTGTTATCAAAGCAGGGGAGTAAGACGACTGGACGGTGTTCCCGCCACCTGTTGGTCACGCGAATGCCACGGGACTGTGCATGCCTTCCTCTTGATCATTGGCGTCGTTTACCCCCACTGGAGCGGGTGACACATTTTGCGCATCCGCATATTCCCATTAGGTGTGTGCGCCAACCTATTCAGCTGCTCGATTAGTGGTTCAATGCCGGCTATCATGACTCCAGCAAACAGCATAGCTTTATTAGCCCTGTGCTGCACGAAACGACCAAAATGAGCCACGAGCAGTGAGCGAACGCATATTCGAGACCGAGGCGGTACAGACGAACATAAATGGCACAGAAAGTGCTTCTCACTAAGCCTGTGTTTGTCGACGGCTAAACCACCCAACTGAGCTTCTGAAGAACCTTGGCGACCTACTTGTGCATTCATTTTCCCTGCTACTGCTATGATATCTGAACTGGTAGCACTGCGTATTGGTGTGTTCACTTCGTGGTGGAATGTGTTCCACCAGTTGGTGTTTGTTCAAGTTAAGCCGTATCATCCATGCACCCAGCTGGCTTGATTACTTTTGTTAGCTAAGAGACTGTGCCGTCTCACCTGACTTACAATGGGCTCCTATGACTCGCCATACGTTCCCGACGACATAACCAATGTTCTCCTACTTTTTTCCTACAAACACTGCATTAGAAGAAGTCGGTTTCTCAGATTCGCCTGTGAAAGTGTATTTTTCACAATGTTCAGCTCGCTGTGTAAGCAAACACAGCGGGATCGTGTTTCTGTATTTATCTACTCTATTTATCTACTATTTGCGGATGACTCACCTGTTCTGTGTCTGCGTTACGAATCGATATTCACAGTGAAACTTCATAGGGTGTCAATATGCTGGTGCTTTCGTTCTGGGATGTACAACTCAAACCATCGAGGACTCTTTGGAACTCCAACGGAGAGTAGATGAACTGGTGACCTAATCGAGCTCCTGGTCCCGCTATCTCAACCCTTCCCAGTGTCGTGACGTAACGTTCTGTTTTTTCCATCCCAATTGGCCGCAGTTCCTTGTTTCTATCTCCCCTTCCTTGCGTGTGGATGATCGAAGCACACCTCGTTCCCCTGCCATAAAGCATCTCGGAATTTTCATATCTCACAATTTCTCTTAGTCTACACATATTCTTCAAGCATTTTAAAACGTTAAAAGGCCTTCCTTTCACGCCCTTAGGCTCAAAATGCTTTCCTTTCCCCGTGCTTTAATTCCTAGATTTGTGACTGCATGTATTCTTCCTCAATGATTATACTGTTCTCTATTATTTTCTCCTGATTTCTTCAAAAAGCCTAAGTCTTTCTTGTCCACTTGTTAAAATTCATTTCTCGCCTCTCTGGATTAGGCAATGAACCGCTCGTTGATTTTATCATCACCAAACATTTCGATGCGTGCATCAATTTTGCATCCAAATTCTAAACGATACTTCTCATCCTTTACCTACTACTTTATCCACTTCTCCCACACGGTCGAAATCTAAACTTTTATGTTCTCGCGCCTCGTCATATTGAAACTCCATCCTGCCCTAAATCTTTCACCCTTACTAGTCGACTCATGAAGAACTAAACACCACTCGCGTAACCGTATTCTTGATTAAAGATGCATCTTTTTGTTTTACTGCCGTCAACTTTTACTTTCTTTGTATTGTCTCCACAATATTAGTGCGAATTTTCTAAAATGGGTTTATAAAACTTATGAAGTGTTCGTCCCTCGCCTGAATGGATGCTTGATTCCCAATCAAACCCGAAGTCGCTGGTCCCCCACAGGACAGAGAGAAGACCGGATCGGACGAGCAGAGCAACAGGGATGTATTAATGATTCACACCGTTCATTATAAAGGTGAAATGGAAAGTTCGGGAATGGTATTTAAAGCGCACGTGGAAAGCACTGGAAAGGTCAACGTACAGCCAATAAAGGAACGCCGCCCTCTCCTTAATTGGCCGCTTCTCCCGGTTGGCTCTCTGTTCGCCCCAATCAGGGCGGGTGACTTTGGATCGCCTGCCGCGGTAATGGGGTCCTGGCTTGTTTGCATCACGTATTCCTTCCTAACAGCTTTTTTGACTTGGTTTGAACTAGCATTGTCGTAGGGAAACGCGACAATTTGTTTGGCTTCTGTGCAAGCTTCCGACGTGTATAGCTGCTCATGCTTCGTCTCTGTTACCAAATCTCACTCTTTCACGCAGTGTCCTGGTTGCCAGCTTTTGCTTATTGCCTTACAAGATCGGACCTCTGGTAAACACTGGTTGAGTCAAACGTATCGTCAATTTGGCTCTTGGTTAGCCCTACCTCCACCAGGTATAACCACGAGGACCCTGGGGGAATCGATTTTTGGGCTACAGAGTCTAACTTGACGCCGGAATACCACTTCCCTTTTTCTTTTTGTTGTATTTCTCACTACTTTGCTTGTTATGTCGTCACTTGGTAGGGATTTCTATTTGGAACGCAAAATTAGGCTTCAGCAGACGTTCCCCGCGCGGAGAATTAGCCCACCCAATTCGGATTGACATGCTCTGTGGGACTTAATGAACAAATGGCTTCTATCTCGCTCCATCGATAGATGCACCCGTGACTCAGAGATAAGAAGAAATAGTAGCCTTCAGCGGAAACACTTATGTTGATCTAACCGAAAACAACACAGGGTCTGTACATCATGGTATTTACATCCAGGTTGCCATCGTTATCGCAGGGTGCCATAGTTGCTACCTGCTAATGGTACAGGAAGGTGATGGTCAGGGTGTGTTTGCCACCTGATAGCCACATCACTGAGGGAATCAGGCGCTCAGTGATCTGGCAGCGAATGGAGATAATTACCATCTGAAAACGTTGTCATCGCTAACGCATTATGTCCAGGTCCCACCTCAACAGTACGCTCCATCGGATAAAGCATCCGGTGAAATGTTTCTGTGGAAATATGCGGTTTTCATAACGTTTCTTCACCAGAGTTGTCGGGATGCTGTCCACTAGTCGTTGGAATTCTGCTTACTGCACGTGCACTATTAGTCGGGTTGGTTTTATAGTCCATAAACGTTTGCTACATCGTTCAGTGACTTTTCCACGGCACATACGTCGCTGTTCACTGACAATCATTTAATTTGAAGCCTTACTAGCGATGACGGCGTGTTCGCGTGCACGGCGACAAGTCCACATACCATGCACGCCTTTGTTGACGGATTGAATGTTGTTGCATGCTCAGTGGTTACCTCTGAATAATGTGCCCTATTTTTCTGCACACGATGCGAGTGTTGACCAGGTACTTACTCATTCCGTTGCATCGCATCGATTTCTACTCCAAGTGAATGCTAATCGTCACTGATTGAGGTGGTGCACACTCTTGTTAGCCTCACTTCCGTTTAGCATACATTTTATCACAGTAAACAGTTAACAGGCATCGATCTTATACGTGGGTCACATGCTACAAAGCTCGCTGATGTCTCTGCTGCGCGTTGCGTTTATCCTCCCTGGTTATTGTACTAACATCAGGACACCGCCAATCGGAAGGGTTCGATTTGTTTACGAAACAGCCGTGGTTCCCACCCGGGCTTTCTTAGCGGCTGCCTACACTACATATGCTATGTAGATACACAGTGCAACGCATCTTGATTTGTATGTTCGCCGTCGCCATAACAAGCATGTCTGAAGACATGTGGCTTGTGTCTTGTCACACCGCTTCTACAATCTCCGTGATATGTCATCTATCAAACTTGACGGGAACTTTACATCCGCCGTTGCCTTTCCGTGGAAATCAGTTTTGAATGAATGTTTGAACGAGTTCTTAAACTATTTTCATTATACCCATATTTGTTTAAATACATGGTTCGCGATTTATTCGTTTTGACTACGAACATTTTTACCACTTGGATTCAATTATGAAGAAGCATTTTCGCAAAACCATGCCCTGTTGACTGCATACAAATCCTGAAGATTCTGTTTAGCTATGTGCGATTGTTGCTCGGGAATGCGGGTCCATTTACTCGATAACAGCACAACCTTTTTCCTTTGTTTTTTCATCTGTGTATTTTTGCATTTTTGGTAACGTCGTGTTAGATTGTCTGCAGTTGATAACCTAAAATGATGAAAATTCACCCACCCGGGTACCTTAATTCTTTATTCCTTGCTCTGCGAGATCCATTCATTTATTGTTAAACTTGGATGTCATTTCCCGCCATATATACTCTTTAGAACCATCCATGGCCTCATATACAACGCGTTGAAACTGTTCATGGGAATGAATCAGAAGCTTTTCGATAGCTGTACGCAAAGATACAAAGAGGAAAGACAAAAGTAAGTTACTAGACTTTACCCCCTCTCTTCCTCATTCGTGTCGCATGATACTCATCTAATAATTGCTACGCGAATACTGTTTTCTATATACGCGTCCGTATTTATTTCGAATTTGGACAAAAACATCTCGGACGCTTCAATTGCGATGCGACCGAAGGGAGGATTATCCTACTCTTCATTCCACCGCTGCGCAAGGATGAATTGCTTCGTATATACTTGGGGTGTGACATCCTGTTAACGGTTGGACGAAACGAACACTTAATTATTGGAAGGATTGTGTAGTATGGTGGGAACGATGGCGACGATATCATTCACACTCACGCTTATGGCCATCTACGGGGACTCTCGCACACTCAGATTTTTCCAATTCATAAATTTTATAAAACGCTTCGGACTACCGGTTGCTATAGTTTACCGTTATGATGTTTGTCTGCTCACGTTCAGCAGAGGTTTGATCGAGCACCTCTGTCCCACACCTGCAATCACTTGTACTTGATTCTCCTTACCTACCTTTCATACGTTACTTTATCTATGTCTGTCATGATTGGTTCCTGCTTCTTGGAACACTCAGGGAGATTTGAATGTTTGCTGTTTTCTCCGGGAAACATACTTCGGCGTGAGAAAGTTTCTAGCTGTCCTATTAGCATTTAGTTCGTGACAAGCATTTGTATGGGTTGTTGCGTTTGTTATCGCTAATTTAATTTTTATTCTGTGGTAGTTTTCGCTTCTTATGATTCCCCTCCGGTAGCGCGGTTGGTATACAGTGTGGATACCAGTTCGCCTGTATAATGAATTCTTCTTTGGATACAAATTTTTTAGATATACATTTACACTTGTTCTTCCATTTGCTGTAATTCATGCTTTTTTTCTCTCGCAATAACGTACCTTATCTGCTGTGATAGGTACGAGTAAGTTGCGTAATGTCTCACTCATCCAGACTTATCGGAAAAGCGAATTCGTCCACGTGCCGATGATAGGAGGATTCGGTTTTTCGAGCGCAGACCAACGGAGTTCGTGAATCATGGTCACTCAATCATCTGCCCCGAAAACCCGAATGAGCTGAGCCCAAGGTCAAGGCCGGCTGATGCCCAATGGTCAGATTGTCACACGCTGGAAAGATATCGATTAACAGACTAGTGTTGATTTGAACTCAACTCTCATGAGCGGTCGATCGATAACCAGCGCAAAACTGTGCAGTGTAATTTAGCTCACTTCTGGTTCACGTTTTGGTCTGGAATAAACTCCGGTGTTTGCCGCGTACTCGCGCTGATCGTTCTTCCTTACTGTGGGTTGGTATGCACTTTACTCAAAATGAGTCCGACACAACAGATACGTCGACGGAAACTCACGCAATACGTAAATAACTGCGGAACGACTAAAAGCAATCCTGCATCAACAGCAAACTCAGTTCGAGGTGACCCAGGTGCGAGTAATGGAACATTTCCGGCCCAGGAATGCAGCAGCAGCATTTGCAAACGGTATCACGGAGTTTGGTAGACCTCAAGCACGATACAGCCATGTCTGGTCATTCATCATTCAATTCCACTTTCAATGTTACAAACACTTTCTCCGGACAACCCCCGCCCCCCAGAACAGCAGCGCCTGTCGTTGCGAAACCACCATCCGCGTGCTCATGGTGTGGCGAATGGTATTTCTTAAGATTCTGCCCCTATAAGTAGCACAGTTGCTCAATGTACAACCGACGCGGCCACAAAGAAAATTAATGCCGAACAACGCAGCGTGTCGGAACACCTAGCCAAAGACGTCAATCAAGCAGTCACTCACATAAGGCCCAGCCAAAACTCAATGCCCTGCTTGCAACAGTTGATCCTAAATTTAAACGCCATCGTAAGTACGTAACTGTAAGAATAAACGGAAGATTGGTTCGTTTGCAGCTCGTTACGGCGTCCGATATAACGATCGTATCCAAAAGTACTTGGAAGGAAATTGTTTCACTAATCTGCCGTCAGACTAATACTACGGCCAGAAATGTATCCGGTGGTCTAATCTAATTGCTTGGCGAATTTGTGAGCTGTAAGTTTCAACTAAGAGCGATTACGATACAGTCTACATAGTTGCTTGTGAACTCAACCTTCTTGGCTTTGACTGGGTTGATCGTTTGGATCATTTCGATATGCCTACCAACATACGGTGCTCATCGACACCTACCCAGATTCGGAGTGTCGAATCTGCCTGAGACAAATGAGACATTTTATCCCTGTTTACTAAATTCAGTACGGTTTTTACCGATACCCTTGGATGCTACTCGAAAACAATAGCAACGCTTCATTTGCACCCGAATGTCAAACCGATTTTCCGGCCAAAAGGACCAGTCCCACACGCAACCTTACTTACTTACTTGCTTTACCGCGGCTAGCTCCTGTGACAGGATGAGCCAGCTTCATGAATGTCACGGATTGCAGTTGCCCAAGCACGGCGGTCGGTGGCAAGCTCCACGCAGCTACTGATCCAATGGTTTCTCCAGTGACGAGTACCATGCACAGCATGGCGTCCCAGAAGATCGACATCCGATTTCTGTAGCTAGCCACCTTTTCAGTTGTCCCTCACGACGCCGACACCAACCCTGGCAAGCCGAGGGTGAAACCACGGCCCTAGTGCAGTCAGTGTCTGGTCTGCGGAGGACGTGACCGAAGCACTGAAGTCTACGGCTTTGGATGAGTGCAGCGTACTTCGGAAGTCCGTAACAGCGCTTACGTACTTTGTCGTTGGTAATACGCTCATGCCACTGCGTTTTCAAGAAAAGCCTTTGACACCAATGGTCGAAGACTTCCAGTTTCCGGGTGTCTTCGGATCGCAGCGGCCATGTTTTGCAACCATAGAGTAAAATGGCAGGAATGGTTGCTGAGAATATTCGGATCTTCGTTCTCAGACTAATTTCCGTCTATCGCCACAGTGTTTCTCAGTTGTAAGAAGGCTGTTCTAACGCTGTCATTACGATTCCTGATTTCGGATGTAGCCTGAACATTGAGCAGTATAGTGGATATCCAAGATACTTGAACTCAGGAACAGATTCGAAGAGTTGTCCATCTAAGGAGAGGGACGGGGCGGACTGGGTAGCTAACAATGAGAAGTATTTCGTGTTGCTGATGTTAATTTTGAGGCCGATCATAGAAGCTGATTGGTCGACCCGATTTAGCGGTGACTGTAGTGAAATGGCATCTTCCGCAAGGATAGCGATATCGTCAGCAAATTCTAGATCTGACAGCCAGAAGCCAGGGCCAACTTGAACACCACGATAGCCCTCAAGGCATGATGCATAACCCATTCGACTGCGAAGTTGAACAGCACTGGAGAAAGTAGGCAACCCTGCCGGACTCCAGTATTGAGGTCGAATTCCTCTGTTTCTTATCCATAGACCGGAATTCGGGCCTTCGTGCAACAGTAATATGATCTCATCAAGTCAACGAGTTTAACCGGCACGCCATTGGCAAGTAGGATTCTCCAGTGTGCTTCGCGGTCAATCGAGTCAAAAGCAACTCGAAACTCAACGAAGCACACAAATGTGGGCTGCTGGAACTGGTAGCAGGGTTCGAGTACTCGACGTAGAGGGAAGATTTGGTCAGTGCAGCCTCTACCTGGACGAATGCCACCTTGGTTATGGCGACTTCGCAGATTCTTCTCATTGGCAAAGCGGGAAAGCAATATTCGTGCGAAGGTTTTGACAGCCACATCGATTAGGCTAATCCCGCGATAATTACTGCACATAGTTCAGTCACTTTTTTTGGGAAATGGCGGTAGTACTGAGGTACTCCACAAGGAAGGATAGATTTCGATCTCCCATCTCAAGCAGAAGAGCTCCTGCAAATGGTCAAGGAAAACTGTTAGACAAGATTTGTAGATTTCCGCTGAAATCCCATCCGCTCCAGGAGCTTCTTTTGACAGCTGGGGACGAACGATGTGTGCAACTTCTGTGGGAGATGGTAGCGAGCCATGCGCGTTATTTCCTGACTGAGTTAATACTGAAATGGGTGCGGTGACATGTATTAGGCGGTTTAGGATGTTAATAAAATACTCCACTTCTCTGGAAAGTTTTCCTTCCGTATCGGGGATAATTTTACCATCTGAATTGCGCAACATCGGTTGTGGTGAATAGCGCTTTCCGGAAGCCTAACGGACGAGACGAAAGTGATGACCCTGCAACTATAATAATATCAGTATTAGCAACCTCGCGAAGCAGTGTTGCATTCATGGCAAAAAGCGTTCTTGGTCGCTTCAGGGCAGCGGTCGTTAGGGGGGGGGGGGGGGCATAAGCCTTGGAGCACTATATGATGCCCGCCCCAGCTTGACCTGGGGTTGCTGCATCAGTGTCTCCAGATACGTTCAACCAATAGCGAGAGGACAGGCCAGGCGCAGTTTATTCATCAACCTCCGGAGGGTCATTGATCCTAGTTTCGGATACGCAACATACGTTGACACTGAGTGTGTCCAATGTGTGCGTGCAAGTGCGACTTGCTGACCTATCTGTCCTAAGCTAGGAACGTTTAACGCTGCCACTGGAACCGCGCAGTGGGGCTGTTTATGACTTGAGTCTTTTGGGTGCTGCCGGAATGTAGTTGCAGATGGCAGAACTATGGTTACTGTAACTACCATCAATGAAGCTGCTTTTTGTAGAAGGAGCATTAGCAGTGATGGAACGGATGGGGTTAATGAAAACAGGTGGAAGAGATGGAAGGGAGGCATCAGGAGTAGAATATTTTCGCTTATCCGCCCTGCTGTGTGTAGCAGATAAGGCAACTCTTCGCGACGGACGACGCAGGATGTGACTCGACGTTGACGAAAAGTTCATTTATTCATGGTTGTACGTAGGCTTGGACAATGTCATGGCACCCAAGCATAGACAGGAGAATGATTAGTTTCCTCAACTAAAGCTTTTGGCTCAAAGCCTATCTGCAAGGCAACAGAGAGGTGGCAACCATCCTCCTTTGGAAAAATGGGTGCCATCCTACTTCTAACTCTCAACCTAGAAGTACAGGAGATTGTGTTCTTTTGATCTCTAACCAATGACGGATCTGTTAAGAGTAGCTCTCAAGGGTCTCTAGGACCCACCCATTATGACTCAGTGGGTCTAAGAGGTACATCAACCGCTGCACCATGTTAGATCCAATCTTGTTGCAGCGGCTTTGTTCGCTCGCTTCGTTGTTACGCGTCCCTGAGTTTACTAAACTCCACCCATCTCTAGTCGTTTTTGCTACGACTCTCTGTGTTTCTGCTTTCATGCATCTTCGTTGTTCTCTTTCGCTTCCACTTCATTCGTACGTAGACATCGAGAAGAGGAAAGACGCCGTGAGCGCATTTGGGCCTCCTTGCATCGAACTGCCCGGGAAAATCCTCTCTACCCGGTCGTGATGGGCCGCCTTGCCCAATCGGACTCCGGCGTTATTGAACCCGACCACGCAGAAGCGAACCTGGGCGCTGGTGTTGTCAGCGGCCCAAGCCGTACAGGCGCCATGGGGGATTACAATTCGGTTGCACCAGACGCAGTCGCACTGGCCACAAATTCCACAGGCGATGCGGACGAAGATGTGACCAGTTCCCTGCGCGACCTCCAGCTGGAAACTGAAAATGATGTACGCATTTTTCACAGATGTGTAGAGCGAGTTTTCGGTTGTCGGATCGTCGTTCTCCTGTTATTTCAATCCAATACCACTCACACTGATTTATGCCTTCATGTTCTCTCGCCAGTGCAATTTGTAGAAACTGACTTGTATCCGTGTTAGTGTTTACTGGCGGTTCGTGCAGTATGGTTGAGATGCGGAAGCGATTTTCCCTCTAGCTATTAGAGTTTTATCAGTTAACCTATTCTTGGAATATGCCCGTCACAATTGCGTAGTGACCTTTAATTTTTTTACGGCAGATAACTTTTGGGATATGGAGACAATATTACAGCTCGAGTTGTCCGATGCCACCGCGATAGTAAATCAAAAATATATTTCTAACAGGTCACACTTCTACATCATTACTACGACCGTCGTTTGCTAGATTACGGAATATGCTGAGAGACCAATTAAGCTGGATCTGTATTTCATTCTTTGCACGGAATTATCAGCAATATATCGGGTTCAGACCGCACTTCCGGTTCCCGAGGAATCATATTTGCCCTGCTTCTTTAAAACAGTGGGAAAAATGCCAGTTATCCGGATTGTCTGCATTGCAACGAAATTGTTTCCTTTTGGCTATCACATAATATGTGTATTGAGTGCATGTCTGAGTCAGTTTTTCCGAACGATACAGAGTCGATGCCAATGGTTTTAACCCAAACGAGCTTATGTTTTCGGTATTTCTTCATCAGGTTCGTACAATTATGTAAAAATCAAATCAGTCTGACAGACTAATGATGTCGATAACAGTTAAAGCCACTGTTTAGCACATGTCGGTAATTGTTGTTAATTGGGTCATTGTCTCGGTCGTTACGCGATTCTAATGAATAGAGGTTGCAAGTCGATCGGGTCAGAGCAGCCGTAAGGCCCGAATGAACCGCTTCTGCTTACAAGTGGGCATCAGTAGTACGGCGGTACGGCATACCGACGCTTTGCTGCCGCGCGACCACCACCAGTCGCGCATGGGCCAAGGATACTTCGAGGGTCGCCTGGTCCACTACACAGGTCCCAACCGGGGACCTCAGGGTTGCAAGACAGATCCCTTATTTTTCGGCCACAGGCCACTTTTGAACACACAAATTCTATTCGTACAATCGAATTGCAATGACCTCAGCAGCTTTTAGTATCCATCTGTGTGCATGCTTCCATCGCTTTTCGGGGGCCTTGTAGATGATTTTGATTGCCTTTGTAAACCATCGGTTGGCTCAGAGGGTGGCTGAACACTTTCCAAAGTTGGTTTAGCAAATTTTGAATGCGTCCGCTGGTTTAGCGTTGCGTCCTTTCTCGGCGAGCCGGCTAGCTACGGAGAAGTTACATACCCTTCTGATATTGTTTGTCGTAATATATATATATATATATATATATATATATATATATATATATATATATATATAGTGTATAATCCACACGTCTCGATCAACTAAGCCCCGGTGGCATTATAGCACCCACCTATCATAGCAGCCTAACTTGGATCGCACACGCACACGCACTTAGAATACGAGCAAGATACGAAGCACTTTTCGATACGTGCTCGGCCCTAGGCATCGCGATCACATGCCTTATCTGGTCAAGACTCGATTACCATGTTGGTTAGCGTGCACACTTTCCCTACCTTCTACTCCCGTGTCTTGCTTCCTAATACCCCATTTCAGCCCAATCTCATGGGATTGATCACCGAACGCCGGCGTGAACAACCCCCCATGGTATGCCGCAAATCCGAAGTTCTACCCAACCAGTCTACAGTACGGGCATTAGAGCAGCACAAGCGTGTCGATCTCTATCTGAGGACACAACCAGATAGCTAAATCCCGACTCCCACCCATGCCAATTCACCCAGGCACAACGGGTTCGTGGTGTACCACCGCGTCTCCCATTCCAGCCTTGCGAATACCAATCCACTCTAGTTCTGTTTTTCCCCATATCACATCAGACAACCCACACCGCGGATTCGGAAGACCACCTCGGTGACAGAGTGATACAACCTGGTCACTTCTCGTTAACCGTTCCGCGCGCTCACCACGCTTGTAGTCAGAACTTGTAATTTTGAAACAAGACAATCACCTCCCGTTTGTCTTGTTCGTCCTCCTCATTCTCTTTTTGCGCTTTAATTGTACCTGCTATTCCCCCCCCCCTCGTCACCCGCCTGACATTTGCTCTCGTCTGCGCAACCGGTGGCCAATTGAATTGAGTTGTCTTCACTGCAACTACACACCCAGATATGATGGGTTTTGTGATTCCGCTCCTCTCTTTGCGTTTTACTTTATCTCCCATCTCTTCTCCTCCATATAGAACGTGTGTGTATGTATGTATGTGTTTGTCCACTGATTCGCACTCTATTCCAGAAGCTGCATTTCAGTTGGCATGGCCTGTTGCCTTCTCTCTTTTCACCTTTCCCTGTGTATTTGTTTCCGTTGCTTTTCTCACCCACATCCCCTTCCTTGCTACTGTATTCTTCGCACATTCGCCATCCTCAGGATTCACTCAGGCATGATTTTATTTGCTTGTGCGTGTGTGTTTTGGAGTGGGAGAGTGCATTTCGGCCACCTCTGCGTTTTTCCGCACCTTTTGCGTGCTCCTCTTGCGCCATAGTACTGTCGCTCGAACTACGTTCGCTTCTTTCCGCTCTCGTCCCATTTCCATCACTTGAGCTCACTGTTGATACACACACACACACACGCACGTTCACCGTCGATGTATTGTTCCAAGATTCACTCGATTCTACACGACATGTTTTTCTCCGCTCCCGCCCCCTGTTCCCTTTGGAATGCGCTTGTCTTTTGGGCCTTTCTGTATTTGTATAAGGTTGACTTGAGTTTGCACAAGGTCTTTGATGTTGATCAGTTTTGCTTCTCCTTTTGACTATGCCCCTTGGTTCGCTTGTGGCACTGTGTGTTCCTAGACCTCAGGGCTCCATTCATCCCAACCTGCTTCACGTAGGCACTTGCTGAAGTTTTGGCTCTCCGAAACTTGAATTGCCATTCTTCGAGCACTGTGCTTCCGTTTCTGAGACAGGATGAAGACAGGCTCTTTATCCACTACTGTCGGTAGCATTATAACACGGGGAGCACGTTCATCATCAACTTTTCTGTTAGGAATATCTTGTGACGAGTTCTTAAAGACTTTTAAACCGTGGAGTAATGCACTATATGCATTTCCCGATAGTGTGACTTGTAGAAGGGCTGATTCTAACAGCGCCTTTTACTGCGTTAGCAACTTTGATTAGAGAATTTTTGGAGTCTGGTGTTCTCTAGATTGCGACGCGACCTTCCTCCTGGTTATGCAACTGGCAACTGAATCGTTTGACTATATTGTGCCTTTCCCGTCTCGAGGTGCAAAATTCTACTATATGACTAGCAGTCCCATACTCACTCTCGAAAACACAATTGCCTGCACAGTTTGATAGCTTTGAGCTAGGTTTCTCCTGATAACCGGGTCATGAAGGTTGTATCCCGAATAGCTGATCAGCGTTTATGGTACCGTCCGGAATATATTCTGTTTAAAGATTCGGACTTTCGACACTGTCCTACGTAGTGTTGATTCGAACCCCGGTATGGCACGCCAACATATGAAAACCGACATGCTTGAGAGGTGGCTCATCTATGGGGGCAATATGTAGTTCACAATGATGCATTTGTGGGGTTGCTACCCAGGCACTAGTCACAAACGATGACACGTAAGAGACCTGCCAAGTACGATGGTTTGTAGAACTGCAAGAGCGGCTGAACCCAACACAGAGCTGTAGCGAATGGAGAACAGGTCAGCAAGAGCGGCGTTAGCAGCGCGACTCACAGAGAAAGCGCAAGTGATCGGGATTTCTAATCAGTCAAACAAATACACGGTTACAACACACAAGAATAGATAAAATCCGATGTTCTGCAATACTGAAAGTGAATGCTTCAGGTTCACTGCACAGTTATATTCTGTTTTTCGTGACTATCACCGTCCTTCATTCTACTAAGCCCGTCTGGTTACGGAAATAGAAATCATCTGATCACGTGCCACGGATGTCACGTAGCAATCGATGCGCTCGCGCAACTTACATCGTAAGGCACAGTGCGTTGGTCAACCCACCGCTTGACGGCGAAACGTAAAATCGTTGCCTTCATCCAACCATCGTCGTTCCCACGAGATTTGAGCGAGAAAGAAGCTTAATGACTTTTAACTAGACTCAATGCGCGGTATTTCATATTTGTATGGTCTTTGGATGGGCATCTAGTACCCAAAAGATATACTTACGACATGGTGATTTTCCACTCTCTATACAAAGCAATACATCTTGCAAATGTAAAGATGGCTATTGGTAATTATGAACAAAACATTTTGAACTAATTATACTATTCGTACACACTTCAGTTTAGACATTTAAAGCAATTTACTGACGTATATTAATATTCCAGCAGTTATGGGGCAATCGCTGATGTATGTTACATATGTATCTGGTTAGTTAACTATATAGAAATACGGTAAGCGACTGGGTGCGCTAGATAAGCGTTGGTTAGACGAATTCTGCAGCCGCTGTTGCCAGAATAGTATTTGTGCAAGATCTGCTTATGGAAAACCTGAGTGCGGGTTAGCGGGTGCAGTGAGAGACTGCAATCTATTGATCCTGTCGACAAACGTCGAGTTCCTAGCATGATTGGCTTCCTGCACTTTGCCGTGAAAGCATTAGGCTGAACAGGACAGGAACATTTCCATTTGGGCGACGAAAACCTGATCCTCTTTTGTTTTACGTGAAAAAATGAAAACCATCTATTGTGCGAACTAATCTGAAAACACACTTACACCTGACTAGCCTGGTCTGGCCCTCGCTTACTGAGGTACCGCTATCACACCTATTCTCTTTATAGTCCCATAATAACGACCACATAGGGTCTGCGTCACAAAAATTGTTAATCATTGCTTTTGAAAACACTCAATACACACACACTATGCAGCCTTTTTCCAGGGTCTGCTTAACTCCTATACACTCCCATCTGAGTGGAAAAATGGAGTTATCACTCCATTGTACAAAGGAGGTAAGCAATCGGATCCTGCCAAACTACCGATCTATTACTCTCCTTCCTGTTTTACCAAAACTGACGGAATCGGTAATCGCAGATGAAGTGACGCGATACTTTGAAAGTCTACAAATAATTTCTAATACCCAACATGGTTTCAGACGCAGACGATCTTGTCTCACCAATTTGCTCTGGACTCATGGACCAGGGCGGCTGAGTAAGGAGTCTCCATAGGTGTGATTTACTTAGATTTTTCTGAAGCATTCGACAGGGTCAATCACTTATTTCTCTTCCAAAAGCTTGCTGCCTACGGTACCAACGGTTCCCTTCTCACCTGATTGGAAGACTACTTACACGACAGAACAATCAAGGTAAGAGTAGCCGGCACTCATTCTGCAAGCCTGTGCTTCTCCATTGATATACCGCAATGATCCGTCCTCGGCCCGCGACTGTTTTTTGTTTACATTAATGACCTTCCAACAGACATTTACATATCCGATGCAAATATTTGCAGCCGATGCTAAAATATGGAGAGCAATTCGCTCAGCATCCGACCGTGTCTATCCTCAGATTGATCTGGCTCGGATTAACGCATGGCCAGAAAGAAACCTGCTCCCACTGAACACTGCCAAGTTCCATCTGCTGACGGTGTGTAGCAGCTTTGTCAACACACATCTTTTGGAGCAACAGGTGACTGGTGATCGCTACTTAGAAATAATTGTGCAAGAAAGTCTTGGCACTTCGCTCCAATTCTTGAAAGCAACTAGTGTGGCGAACTTCAACTTGAGGCTTTCGAGGCGAGCTCTCGGCACTTTTGAGCGACGGCTAGTACCGATGCTGATTAACTCCTATATTCGTCTTCACATCGAATATGCAATTCAGGCCTGGTGTCCATGCTTAAAACGATTCATTTGCCTGTTAGAGCAACCCCAAAGAAGAGCCACAAAGGCAACGCGTGGACTATCCGATCTCAATTACAAACTGCGTCTTCGTGTACTCGATGTGTTCTCCTCACGGAGATCTCATTCTTACATGCCGGATACTAACTGAAAACGAGCATCCAGGTACATCACTACTGACCCTAGCCCCTTATAAACAATGTCAGGTCAGTCACCTAAAACTAATGACGCAACACACCGTTTGGATTGTAGAAAGTATTTTTACTCACTTAGAATCTGTTCTAACTGGAATGTATTAGCAACACATATGATGAACGCACCAGACATCGCGACACTCGAAAGAAGAAACTTTCATCTTAGTGATAAACGCTACACAGGTTGGATAAAGTGCGATGGCTTAACTACTGATATTTTACATTCCACGTTGGAACACTTTGATTTTAATTTTCGTTTGCTTATCCATCCTATTGGTCTCGTAAAATTATGCTTTTTATCTCATCTAACACTATTGAACTAATAACCTCACATGGATCCCTCTTCTTTATGGCTGACTGTGGCTATTATCTGAGGCAGAGTGTTATTTTCGTGTCGAAGGCTGAGATATTGATGCAACCCGGATCCGAGGTGGTTCTGTTTGTATTTGAACATTCCCTTTACCTCGAGGCACATATAATCTTTACTTTACTCGAGTGGACGTAGTTAATAATTAAATATCCGCATCGCTTTATTCACCTTAGCACACGACGAAATCAAAATGTTGGGTGGTTATGCACTGCAGGCTAACAGGGAACTCCATCCATATCGATACAGATTATGCATACATAGTTCTACACTCATTCTTGGTTCCACCATCTTCATGTAAGCGTTTCTTTCAGGGCAACAATTTACGGTAAAATGGTCACATGTTCATTCTTTCTTATCTTCGGGTTTCACTTGCGTGAAATTCGAACGAAGGCAGGGGATGCATAGTTAAATCGACGAGAGAGTAGGATTCGCAGCGAAAACGCACAATCAGCATACTAGGCGACCGGCAACACCCAGGGAAGAAGCCAACGAGACACTCGAACCATGTGTGTTTTGTCTGAGCGCAGAACACAAACAACAATCGAGGTGGGTAAACAGCATAGCTTGCTTAAATAAAGGAGTTGGGTTCATGTTCGAAGCACCGGTTTTCCTTCTGACGATCATTAGCGTTCTGCGTATTTGCGTTCACTCTCGGGTAATCTACGAATAAAGGTAAATGAAAATGTACGAATACACGATCAGTAAAAAATTGTTCTGCGTCCGGTGACTGCGGTTACTCGGTTCTCCCCAAGGAAAGTACAGTCCTCTGTGTCCTGAATACTAACGTCCAATCCGTCTTCTAGTGGGACCTTTACTACATACTCTGCTACAGGAACGTTAATGGGAGGTGTATGCGTGGGAGAAATAATATTGTCCACTGTGATGATGATGGATTTCAATTAGTTGCAATGAACTGTCGACACATCCGAATGAGCCTAGTTTGAGTTTCGAGGCACAACACATTACTACACTGTCGGTACGCCATGATATAGGGCCCTTGCCATAGTTTGTGAAACTCCGCCTTGGTAACCTAAGCGGCTTTTAGCCTGTACAGGAGTACGTAATTGTTGAAGGCCCGTCAAATATCCCCGCAAAAACGCGCCAGAAAGTCCGGCATAGTGGCTGTGGAAAGCGGGGTCCAATTCCTCCCCACAACGTAGCAGTGCTCAGCCACTCCGAGGCGTAGCCCAACTGTGCGCCTGTTGACAATGTTCTTTTGCAAAGTACTACCCCGTCGTGCTAGCAATTTTCCCTAACTTAATGACCTATTGCATTGGCTGTGATTTGCTCTTTGATGGTCGTAAAATAGCCTACAGAGGACCACCTGTCTTGCTTCCTCTTCGCCTTAGTTGGGAGTCGGTCGGTCACGTGATTTTGTG